GTCAGTGGGGCTACGTCCTGTAAACGTTACCTTTGCCTTGTTGATCTTTATTCTTGTTTTTAGAAGTTCTCAATTTTCATCATTAAAACGTGCTGGATTCAATGATCCCAACACTGGAGTTGAGTATGAGAGCTTTTTACAGCTGCCACAAACTGGCTGACAGCCTGCCGAAAGAAACAAACGAATACCGCTGATGAGGAAACGACGACCGGGCACGCAAGTGTGCAAATGTTCAGGCTTATATGTTAATACCAGCAATATACAATAAATAAACTTAAATACCATCATATTCAAAATATAATAATAACTATTACAATCAGCAAACAATCCGTGAAATGTTTTAGATTGCAAACAGCTTATAGATATTTTAGTGTGTCGAAGAATTGCTTCAATTTATCAACGTTAGACAGAATGACCAAATATAGTTATTTACATACGCCCTTTGTTTAACAAAGTATATATTTACAAGAGCGATAAATGGATCTATCTTTTATCGTCTTTTTTCGTTCTGTTCTATGTACTTGATAACTTATGTATCAATCGGATACATTCACCAATATATCTGACCTTAATAAATCCAGTTTGACTACTGTATATCAAGTTATTTTTGACATATTTAATTCTTTTAGCAATTACTTTATTTGGTATTTTATATTCAATACAATTTCATATTTACTTAAGTAAGGAAAAAGTGACAGCTACTAATTATTTTGAACTGATGTTTTGTCTGTTGTAAATGAACTATGACAGTATTTATTAATATTAGTATTTCATGGTATGATTTCATGTATGTTAGAAAAGAAAACGATATTAAGTAAAATCTTAAGTAAGCCAAATATAACAAAATATATTCAGTGTCAAATCAAGATTTAAATTTTGAAAAAAGAATGAAACAAAAATTAAAAAACAGCACCTTTAACATTACATATCAGAAAGAAAATAAAAAGGAAAATGGTACATAACGTACACACTGATGTGAATATTTGGAAAATTATTAGTATTAGACTGAAATTTTATGACAGGAAATATTTCTGTTTTTTCGTCATTGTTAAATGATTGCTAAAGTTACATTTTCTGAAATGAGTTATCAAGGTAAGTGTCACATTGAAGGTTCCATGATAACCGCCGTATGAACACATCTGCGGATGTTTCTAAATTCAAAATTTTACTATTTCACGTTTAAATGTTGAATTCTGCTTAAGCCGGTGCTAGGGGGCGTGGACGGTAACTTGCACTTTCCAGTACCGTTCATGAACAGGCTCAATCAAACCGAGCCTGCAACATTTTCAATTTTGCCGTGTTGGGCTTTCTTTAGGGATTCTGTATTTATCTATTTTATTGGGTGACACTTTGAATAAATGTTTGAGACAGAAGTTAAAACAATCTATTTTATTTTGAAATCAAAACTATAATATGTAATAAAATTCACTGCAAGCAAAATCTATTATATTCATAATATCAAATTAAATTAATATAACCGCAAGCAAAATATTAATTTATTCATTTTGACATTCATTTTAACAAATCTAAGAGATTTAACTGCAAGCTAAATATATTGCATTCATTTCGACATGCATACTATCAAATCTAATACATCTCATTGCAAAAACTAGAAATGTGTTGATGTGCCCTCTACATTCCACTGTTTTGTTAATCAACTGACTCTATGTCAAATGTTTTAGGCTGCATGTGGCACAAGTTGGAAACTGATAATCTTTTACTAAGTTAATGACAATAGCTCTACAGATACTGAATAAATCCACAAGCAAACCCTTATGTACATAACAACCAATGCCTACCAACATTCTATAATTTATACTAAGTCAAGGGTAATAACTCTAACAAAATTAAAAAAAATCTGCATGCAATCCCAGGTGCACAGCTTCACAGCAATGTTGATCATCATTCCTGCAAAGTTGGCTGATTCTAACTCAAGCGCTCAAGGTACACATTACACAAAGTTTTGGAATTGATTTTACTAGGTAAAGGGCAATAACTCGACAAATACTTGATAAATATACAATCAAACCACCAGATGAACAGCTGCATATACCAATCAACAAATACTTTTTGAGCTACGTGCAACACAAATTGAAAATGGCAAAGTTTTACTTAATCAAGGACAGTAACTCTACAAATACTGAATGTATCCACATGCAAACACCCAGGTGCACAACTACACATGCTTATCAATATTTTTTTTAAGTTTCATGACTCTAGGTCAAATTATTTTTGAGCTATGTGCGACCCATAAGTGAACGGACGGACAAAGTTTGATGTAAATGACCCTTATAATGGGAGCACCTTCTCTCTTCCCCTCGGTACGTGTACGTCATTGAGAAGGCACAGAGCATCGGCAGATGATTGAAGAACCAATGCTACGTGTAAGACGGCACGTTCGCATGTTTACTTCAGCTCGTGGTAACGTTAAAGGCGGCGTGACTAAGCTTGCATGAAGTTAGCTGCCGGCGTCCTGACAAAAGCCGAGGCCTACAAAATAGGCCCTGACTCGACGAGGATGGTGTGTGCTAGAGTGTGTAAGCCCCTAGCACGGTTAAACGACTTGCACGACAGGCCTTTTGCTGGCAACAACAGCCCTTGTCAGGGCTAACCTTTTATATTTTCTCAGGATATTATGCATTTAGGTTCTCATTGACCGCCGTTCAGTGACCTACTTTTGGCTCAAAATTCATATCTTTGGCTAATTCTTCGTGGAAATTGCATGGAGGTAAATTATCACCTCTTTGTGCTTCAAAACTAAATCTTTAAGGGCATGACTGGTGATATGTCCGGGGTTTGTACTCGACAGCGAAAGCTGCATTTTGTGCCTAAAAGGGCAGATGGACCCTCATTAAGCATAAACTACATACATACATACATACATACATACATACATACATACATACATACATACATACATACATACATACAGTGGGGACACAAACATATTTCTTTTCCTTTACATTAATTCTATCAAATCTAATTAATTTAACTGCAAACAAAATATATTGCATTCATTTTTGTCATTCATACTATCAAACCTAATAAATTCAACGGCAAGCAAATTATATTACATTCATTTTGACATTCATACTATCAAGTCATAAATTTTTTAAATCTAATAGATTAAACTGCAAGTAAAATATTTAACATTCATTATAAACTTTTTTATATTATCAAAAACTAATAACTTTAACTGCAAGCAAATATATAACATTCATTTTAACATTAATACTATCAAATCAAATATATTAAACTGCACGCAAAATATATAACATTCATTTTGACATTCATAATATCAAATCATAGAATCAAATCTAATAATCTAACCGCACGCAAAATTGATAACTTTCACATCTAATAAGTATAACTGCAAATAAAAATATTACTGTACCTTCGTTTTCACATTCATAAAATCAAATCTAATAATATAACTGCAAGCAAAATATATTACATTCATTTTGACATTTCATATTAACAAATTTGATAAATTTAACTGTAAGCAAAACACATTTCATTCAATTTGACATTCATACTATCTGTATACCCTTTTGTATTTCTCGTCTTGAAAAACATGAAAAAGAGAAGAGAAATAGCAACAAAGGAATATCTTGTATAAACGACTTATTACCCCACACTGATAAATTATCCTGGGTCAGAAAATTTTGAACAAAATAAAAATAAAACAACCAATTTGAAATATTTTCATGCTATTAATGATTGAACATTTTTTTTATGTGTAGGTATATTCTACCATTCTTAATGAGATATTAAAGTCAATATCATGTTCTTAAAAACTGTGTTTTATCAAAAACATTGTCAGTAAATATACTGCGGGTAACAGTGTAATTTTACTTATTCATCGTAAAATGAAAATCGATTTTATACATTTTTTAACAGAGGTTTAATTGTTTCTGAAAAGAAAAAAAACTATATTTGTGCTAAAGTTCGTGTTTAACTTTTTAAGTTATTATAGATGTTTATTAAACAGTAGTGATACAATGAATGAATCTTACATCTTTAAACTCATTAAAACGTGTGTAGAGTTAAATGCTCAATTAATATACCTTTTTTTTTAAATACATATTAAACATTTCTTTGTCTTGTATTATACATGTATTTTCATGTTGTCTTCAATTTATTTGTTGATATTGAAATGTGTTTGTTTTAACATGTTAAAATTTAGTTAATTGTCCAAACATTCGCTGTAGATTTTCCAAAAAAATGCCTCAAATCGAACGAGCCGGCCACGGAAGCGAAAGTTAGTGCATGCTTTTCAATCTCTTTTGAATCTTTAAACGTTATGTCATTAAAGGTCTTCATTTAAGTATATTTTGGTGACTTTGCATTTTTCATTATATTTATTTTCGTTTTCCATCTTACGAATTTTACGGTTATTGGATGGTAACTGCCCGTCTTTAACTGACCAATTATATGTGCAATGTATATCTCTTTTTTGAGAGCGGCTACACATTTCCTGAAATTGTATTTCTGTCTGACTGTTGAAGAGAATCTTCTTTTTATCCCCTGATACGAAGGTTATTCCTTCGCCTGTTTTGGTCTAGATTATTTGCACTTTCTTTCAATTTTTCGTTTTCTAATTTTAATATTTTTCATTCATTGTTCGTCTTTTCTTTTGACTGTTCTAATATTGTTTCTATAACATGTTTGTTTGCGCTTATCTCGGATTGAAGGCTGGTTTGTTATAAAGTTTATCTTCAAAGATTTCTAATCGTTTGATGACTGATCATAATGACTGCTCATCCATTTCTTTAAATGTGTCTTTTATTATCTATGTTACTGATGTAAAACCTTTCATCTTTTGTCAAAACGATGTTTAATTTTTTAATTTTTTTTTCTCAAGTTTCATCTTAACGTTCGTTTCTGTCTATTCAAGTGATGCCGTGTTTTTTGTTTTCTTTGATGAAACTTGGAGTAAGTGGTGTCAGTCTTTGTTTGAAGGTCTTCTTTTGTCCCATTTAAGGAGCTAAATGCATTTGTAATACTGTATGTGTAGAAATATTCGCGGGCTTCAAATTTTCGCGATCTTCGCGGTGACATTCGATCCGCGAATTCATGTTTAGCGCGAATATTTCTACACCAATAATTTCTCAATAGTCATATTTTCGCGCTTCTATAGAACAATGTATATCGGTGTGTGATATGCTTTCACACTTTTTATTTAAATGTTTACTGAGTAATTGTGTTTGTTATCTAAGTTATTTATCATTTAAAATCGTTTATGTTTTTGTTTTTTTGTATCGTTTGTTCAGAAAAAAAAAAAAACATGATCTGATCAGTTGTCAAGACGTTTATGACGCAAACTGTGAAAAATTATGCAAGTTAACAGGCATTCTTTTGTTTTGTTACAATCTGTCCGCTAGACAATGTCTTTTTTTTTTACAATAGCGTGTTGTTTGACACCTGGTATTGAAAATAACTGTGAACTCCCGTGATGATCACAGTAATTTTCCCTATTTTTTAACCTGAGTGGTCAACGCGAATTTATGATTTTCGGCAGTCACCTCCGCGAATTCAAAATAGCGCGAATATTTGTATAGACCCCCAAAGTGGACCTTTCCGCGAAAATTTGCTTCCGCGAATTTAAATACACATACAGTAGTACTAGAATCCAAATCGCTACAGCTTGGGGTGGATTCCTTTTTCCGTAAGAGTTCCGTTTCCGTAACCACCTTTGTTAGGTTATGATGAAAAGGTCTTTAACTAAATTTTAGAATAATTACTTAAAAGAATGACTAAATGTAGATGAAAGTCAATATCACTGTCATCGTATCATAGAGTATGTGTAACTGTCTGATTGTTAAAAATAGTATTTTTGTTTCTGTTCATCGTCTTTTGTATTCTGATCACAAAAGAAAGAAATGAAGGCGCAGCTCAGAAATCCGCATTTAAATATCTTTATTTTGTGCTCCTCATCTTCCATAAACGCTTTCAAAGTCCTCGGCTTTAGAAGCAACACGTCTTTCTTGCTGCTTTTAGAAACATAAACAATTTTTGAAAGTTCAGTTCTTAGTGAGTTTAATTCTGGTGTCAGGGGTGTACTGTCATTCATAAGGTCATATATTGAGCTCCGCAGATTACTATCCTCGCCGTCTTGAATTAGAACTCGGCGCAAAGCTTCCTCCATCGGACCCAATTCTCGTTCATCCGGTTCGTCATTATTGTATGTCTTTAAAAAGATTCATTTATATACATTGGTGAATTAAGGAATAAATAGATACAATATAGCTCTTTCATGTTTTCTTCATGTGTGTAAGTAATTTTGGCGTGTAATTGCGTTAAGTAGTTTTGTCGTAAAATTGTGTGAATTGAATTACACAGAAAACATTTAAGCATAGCACATAGAATTTCGACATTCGAGTGAATTCTGCTAGAATTATGTAAAGCTTTCTGGTGTGTTCATACATGTTAACTATATGAATTTAAAATAATCTTCTGTTATATATGTATAGTATATTTTTTTTACCCAAATTTTTTTAAATCCAATGTTTTGTTTGTCAAGTTCTTTTAAGCTTGGTTCAGTTGGCCTGCGACTTGTCGCTTTATAAAGATATATTCTATAAAATGATGCAGTGGTAGAGAAGTATGAGGCATACAAACCTTAATAGAATCATAGGCACTCATGAAGAGAGCTATGAGGAGGTTGATAACAACAATAGTAAATATTGCGACATAAGCTCCGAGATAGAATCTTGAAAACCACCAAACCCAGTGTCCCCCGCTTTTATCCCACTCTATTATTGCTAAGGTAGCGTATATTTCGTCGCCGTTAACAACAGCAAACAGTGTCTCTGCGGCTGCTTCCGGAGTTTGGAACTATAAAGAGTTAAAAAGGCAATTTACACCGTAATATAAATTTTCATGCGGAATACGAGGACTCTTTTTTAATGTTGAATAAGTGATTTAACCAATAAAAATGTAACAACTAGGTACATGTTATAGTACCTTATTCCGACATATAACTTGATTTACGGGTCAAATGCTATATTCATAACAAAATAACGATTTAAGTCGATCATTCAATTGAGTATACATTTTTCAAGAATTGAAATCATTAGAAGAGTTCTATAATTATTATGAGTAAGGGTGTGGGTTTACAAACCTTGACATGGTACGGTCCCATAACAACGTACCCAGAAACCCAGAACCCGACAAATAACACACCTACACAAATAAGGTATGCAATCACATCCCAAAATGCTTTGTATAGTGTACTAAATAGCAGCTGAAATAATAAAAATGTTAAAACATACATAGTTATCATAAAAAAAATAATCCGGAATATGACATATTTGATAAAATCATTCTTTTAAAACTTATTATAGACTTACTTGTATCCTGTAAACAAGATCATTTATTCTTTTAAGTTTATTTTTAAAGTTAAAGACTTTTATCTAATGTTTTCAATAAGATATTCCCTTTTAGGATTGAAGGTTCGTGTGAAATGCAGCTATAAGAATATTTGCTGTGTTACAAAATATCATTCCATGTTCATTAGATGAAAAAGATGCAGGTATTTTTAATTGCAAGGAAAAATAATGTCTATACTCACATGAAATTTATTATGAAACTGGAAGAATCTAAGCAAGCTTAGCCACGTTAGTACACAACCGACTCCTAACCATACGGTGTAGGAATCTAGCAACTCCAGCTCCAATTCACTTTGCTGAAAATATTTGTTTTTCATAGGAGTATCAGTTTAAAATTTGCATTCAATGTCTTCATTGAACGCCGCCTTGATCTTGTTTATCATGTAAGTAAAATGAGTTTATTTATACCGAATGTGTGTTGTTAAAACCTATCAAGTATTATAGCCGTGAAATTCTTCTGTCATTTTTATATGTAGTATAGAACATGTATTGACGTGTATACGTTTATGTACAATGTCCATTACTTTCATAATGTGCACCTTTCATACCTAACTTATGTATAAGAATACAGCGTTAATTGTATGAAATGCATCGATAACACAGTGACTTAAAAGGCCTCATTATAAAACATTAAAACTGTCATAAATTAAATATATTGTATGTTATATAATTACCCTTGTTTTAGATATTATCCAGCGTGTGCCGAATATAGTCAATATATCAGAGATAATAACGATTATATCCCAGAATTTCAAAAACCGGAAGTACTCTGACGCTGGCAGGTCCGTCTCATCCTTATCTACAACCCTGAAGTATGTCTGATAGTGCTTCTTCATAAACTGCTTAGTTCTCTGAAAATAACATTCTATTTATAAAAGTTCCTGTTTGCTAGATTACAAGCATATTCACCAATAGTTCGTAAGAATTCACCAAACTAAAGCTTTGTCACTATGTATCCAATAAATCCAGACTTTTAATTATTTGAATTTTATTGATCAAAGTCATAACGATGTTTATTACATCGGGTGGGTCACGGAAAGTGACGACTTTTGCTGGACGTAAACAAACATATTAACTATATTTAAATAGTTTTAAGTCATGGTTTATTTTTTGGCATTTTCTCTTAAAAAGAATGTAAAAGCATCACGATAACAAGCTTAGTCTAAAGATCTGTACATCCAGTCAAAATATTCCAATCTGAAACGGGTATATACACACAGTTAACAATAACATGAACTATAAAATTCGTCTCATTAGTAACATAACGTAACATCATACAGACTTTCTTTACAATTATCAACTAACGTTATTGCTTTAGTCAAAGGTCTGATACAAAACTCATGCGTGCTAACAATCACTTTGGTGCTAAGTATCGACATACCAATAAAGTATAAGCAGCAAAAACCATAGTGGCAGTGGTCGATAATAATGATATACTGCAAAGTACAATCACCGAAGTCCCGATCTCTTTTGAAGTATTTTCTAGTTGCCAGTCTGTAATTGGAAAATCAGAATTTGATATCTAGATATTTAAAGTAGGTGCTTTACATCAACTTTGAAGAGTATTCAAAAAGGCTAGAATCACTTGTCAACTGCATTGTAATTGAGGGGCGTGGGTTCAAACCTCAGAATGGGAAACTTTTTCTTTCTTTCTTTTTTTAACGTTATCTATACATCTCTCAGATCCCTTATGTAAGAAAAGTGTTTGATTTTAATTAATAAATATAGTTATTGTAGGTATTTATTTGCTAAATAATGCCAAATCTGATAGCAAATATGATACCAGATCTTCTCAAAGTTTATTAAAATAAAAACTACGCAGTAAAAGTATTTTTTATTTCGCAGGATCAACCAATATACTTTAAGAAAATTTAGGCAAACTTTGAAATTGTGGTAATTTTAGGGATATTTTGAATAAGCCTTTTTATACAGGGAAATGGTCAAATAAGTGTTTAAAGTGGGTTGGGTAGAGTAACAGTTTTACACATATTAAAATATTATGTTTAGACACAATCGTTTTGCTCGTGTAATTTTTTACCTGAAAGTTAATTTTTGTTGAGAGAATATTCAAATAAACAATGAGCAAAAGAAAAACATTTTTCATAATGATGATATTATAGATTATTTAGAGCTTCCTTATTTCTGAAAAAAGCCCTTCTTATAGCAAAATTTAAGCTCAGAAATATATCTATAACTCATAAACCACACGGTAATTTTTCTTATTTAAAATTTGGATACAGGTGGCCTTTAAGGCATATAACGGACGTATGTTGGCAATTTTACAGTTCCCGTTAGCCATGGTCTACCAAAAGACTTTTTTGTTCTAGAATTGAAGTTACAGAAAGTATCGGAAAACGAGCACAAAACGGAAATTCCCTCTCAGTTACAATGAGGATAAGCATCCGGAGTAATTGTTGTCAAAGGGTATTTTTGATCATTATTATTCTATGATATTCTAAAAAGAATGGAAAATTATTACAAAAAAGATGAAAATATTTAGAGTGCTAATATTGAAATGCTTATCTACTAAAAACAACATGTTTTCGTTGAACTGAATATGTCCTTAGGTGAACAAAGGTCAAAATTATTAACCACAAACAATAATATAAAGAAACCAACACAACTCAAACCTAAACATTATGTATAGTTAAAACTTCTATAAAATAAATGAAATGTTTATATATTTACTTTATTACTAACCTGACAAAGGTAGATTCATGTTTTTACACTTTATTCTTCTAGCTTTTGTATCAAGGTCAATTAACACTTGACCATTATTGTCCAGATTAACAAATTCCACCTGTAAAAGTTAAATCTTCAAAATCACTTTAGTGATCAATGATTTCAGACCCTTAACTTTTTAAAATCGCCATTTTTACTGTTGTTTGCTCGTTGAAATATATAAGCACGATCTATTTCCTAAGTCATATGTTTTGGTATAAAGATATTTTTATTTTGTCACAGGCTTGCTTTTTGTTACTTTATATAGGCAACAGACAGAGTGACTTAAACTTAATCTACATTTGTACATTTAACAAAGAACATAGTACGAAGGCACTTGTATATTACATGTAATTGCACAACACGAAAACAATGTTGTTGAATCTTGGAAGTACACATTACTTAATTTTAAAAAAGATATATATTGGGCATTTACTTTTATAGAAGTGTTTCAGATTTATTTCTGAGAAAGAGAAAATATACTCACCGAGCCCTCTATTCGTAGACATGTGGCTTTCCTGCTGCTGTCGTGTGAACGTACGGAATGAAGCTTAAAGCGAAGTGTTGTTGACAACATCCTAACAAAGATAAATCACTAATATCACTAAATAAATGTAAAAATCTAGTACCTCAACAAATCAAGTGAAAACTTTGCAGCATGTCAAAATATAGTTATGCAACACTTAGACAAAGGATTATACATATAATGCTTCTTTATCTTTGTTATATCTGTTTATTGGCGGGGTATAATTTACATCTCTCCAAGTATTATTGGTGGTAAGTTTAATATTGATTTCATTACTCCATATAATTGTATTGCCAAACAAACAACTTACTTACTTCTTTAAAGTATTAAGAAATTTGTTAAAGGTAATATATGAAGTCTCTATTTATGAAAAAAACTATCTAAATACTTTATTTCTATAGGATCATGCGTGAGATAAACCTTTTAATTGGTTGTGACACATTGTGATGATCAAATTCACGGGTGATATTATAACTGTACACTGTCTTATTTTGTTGCGTTACTTCTGCAGACAGCCCTTTGTCAATTGGAAACGTTATCTCTGCAATAAATTACAAAGAACGCGCATATTATTGCAGTATAAGAACATTCACATCATCCGACGTAATTCTTTTCAATACCATGTTTTACAATTTACCTTATTTCTCCAATAAATTAACGATAGCATAGATTTTCTGCAACCAAATCATCTCGAAATACAAACACACGGACAGAAAGAAGAAAAATATCAGACTTTTGCTTTCATTTTAAACAATGATTAATATATGAAAGTTATCTTAATATATATTTATATATAAATGTATTAAAACTTGCGAGAACACTTTTCTTATGTTTGTATGGTTTACCAGATATGGTTATTCCTTCTCCAATACTCGCACCATGAAAACCGGGAAAGTCAAAATATTTCATTGTTGCTGTCATTTTGTCGTCTGCTGTTCGAACATAGTACCCAATGGCTTCTCTTTCTGCGTTATAATACTGCAATATTTTAAATAGGAAGTTATACGATATGACTTTTTTTAAAACATACGGAAATATATGATATTATACGGTTTGGCAATTTCAGCATTCTTCCTTTTAAACACATTTCAAATCACGATAGTAAATAAACTCGACATTGAATATTTATCTCAGGAAAAACAACTAAAAATAATATTTAACCACACCCTTACGTGTGTCTTTTGCAATAAAATACAACGCATTTTTTATTGTTTGAATGCCTGATAGAAACATTTAAGCACGTTGCTGTTTGTTACATAAACAGGAATTTCACCGTAAAAATATCAATGTCATTGCGTATCATTTTGATATACTTTGACACTTACCATACTCATTGACCAGCATGTATTGTTATATATGTATTGTTTGTTTGTTTTTCTTTTGTACATTTTTTTACTTGTAAAGTCGTGTTAAATGCCAAACCAACCACACTTGTTCGATAGTTGTTATCCGGAAGTCAAAAAATTTGGGTTTTTTCCAACCTTATCCCCCGGTAAAAACAATCTTTCACCGTTATAGCTTCACGGTGAACTACTAGTCACAATATATTAGTCAACCTGGTGCACTTTTTACCGAAGCTATAACTGTTTGTTTGTACCCCCGGATTAGCTGGGAAAACCCGAATTATTTTATTCCGGAGTAAATCTATTGGTAAAGCAAACATCGATCAGTAAATGAAAAAAACAAACATATACATGTACATTGTATTGCAAAAGTATCGCATATTTAATTCAAACATTATTTCAATCCTCAAGTTTTTATCTATGTCAAGTAATTTGAACACCAGCTGTCACAACAGCAGGTGTCAAGTGCTGTGTGGCAGCTGTAAAAAGTTGCCCCGTACTTCACTTCAATGTTGTTATATTTTTCTGGTCCCTCGGGGTCATTGATGTCAGCAATATTGAGTGTTGAGAATTGAGTACCGCTTAAGCCGGTGCTAGGTGGCGTGAGGGATGTTGCATTTATTCATTATCCCTCATGTACTGACTCAATCAATCCGGGTCGGCAATTCTCTTGTAATGTTGCTGGGATGCTTCCGAGGGATCACTTTGTTTCCAGATATTTTCACTGGGTTTATTTGAAAATTCTCTCATTTTCAGTTTCGGGATTATCAATTTAAGTAAGTTAATATTATATAATGAGTATGTCTGTTATTTAATTTTGTTGTTGCTTTAATCAAAGCCGCATATAGAAGTCTCCCTCATCACAAGTGGTACTTCCGTATCTCAGATTCCTTCCAATGTTTTCCAACAAATGGTATTGGCTAAACCTTTTTTACATTCTTAATGTTCTGTTGATACCAGACTTAATACGGAAACAAAGCGAAAAAGGACAGAAATTTAACTGACCGATTCAATATCTTTAATATCTAGTGTATGTCTATATGACGAGGGCATTAAGTTTTATTTCTTAAGTTTGGTTTCTGAATCTGCAAAGATTTTAACTGGTCTTGCTCAGCTTTCTTTTTTCTTTTTTGAAAGTTTTCATTAGTAATATTTTGGATATTAAGATAAAGGAGTGGATCAGCCAAAAGTGAAAAGATTTGTCAGACCTGTACACAGGCCTGCTCTAAACTGGTGGTAAATGTTTTATCACTTTAGGCTCAAGAAGGGCATAAAATGATTACGTTTTTAACAGCGTAGTTAATACCACTCTCAAGATCATCAATCGTATACACGGCAAAGTCACCTTGTGCAGGAGGATATGGCAGTGTTTCCCAGCCTGTAAAATAAATACTTGTGGTCAATATCAAAATATTTGACAATGGTATTTTGTTGCCTTTCGACGTGAAACAGTTCTAAAGAAAATAACTGCCCAAAAAAATATTTTGATATCTCCTTTAAGTATCAAAGTAATATCGGTAATTTTGTTTTCCTAGTAGTTGCGTCTGCGCACAAAAAATCTTATGAATGAAGAAAATGCCTTACTTGCATCCCAATTTTCTAAAAGAAGATGTCGAAGGGCAAGATCGCCTCTGTTGACAACTGAACTAAAGTTTCCTCGGTCATTTCCAAAGTAAATCATCTGAAATGTAAAAAGTAGTATAAGAGCAAAACTCGTCAAAGTTTATATGAAAAATCAAGTGACTGTTGATTTAACGTAGGTGCTTGCAGAAACATGAACTATTCCAACTAAATCATCTCATTTCTTAATCTGTAAAAAAGTAGTAAGATTTAACAAGGTATCTGGATGCTTGTTTCCATTATCAACAAAACCTCTTACTGGTATTCAAAGAACCATTAACAAATAGTGATGATAATACAAAATAGATGAATGAATAAAAATTGTTTCAATTATCAAACCTGGCTTGTAAGTAGGGCTACTTTTATGATTTGCACCAAGAAGAGGAAACAGTAAATAAGATGGAAGTTCCATGTGTTTCCCTTTAATTTGAATGCTGAATAGAAGTTAAGCCTCAGCAGTACACGAAGTTTATTTGCTTGATTCGTGTAATCAGTGGCTTCCTTACTCTTCCTTCTGTTATTCTCATCTGTAAACAAACATACAAAGGTAGCGTTTTGAAGTAGCGTTCTTGTTTATTTAGGAGCGGCAACTCATAGTAGAGATAGTTATAGCAAATCATGTTTTATTGATATGTTTTTTTGGATAAATAGTTAACTCTTTCACAATCCTTTCTTAGTACTTTAAACTAAACGAAAAGTAAATATTTATCGAACCAAAATTGTCCTTTCTTTTGAGTTGAGCAACAAGTGGCGACAAGTCGATAAAGATACAGTATCTGTACAAGAACTGTCGGTAGGACATCACTGCCGACTATTCTCAGTACTTGATAGTAAAAGAGCCTTGATAATGAAATATATTCTTAGTTCAAAAAGGGCATTTTTTCAAATCCATGTTACAGTTATAGGTCTTGGAGAGTGTCCTATTATGCTCCCAAAAGAGTAAATGAAATTTCAACTTGTTTCAAAACAACATGTCAATGGCATATGCAAATATTTGAATGGTATGCAAATTTCAATATAAATAATTAAGTAAAAAAAGCGACATAATTCTCTCAAAATACTTGATACTGTGACCTTCTCCTGTGTACAGATTGGGGCATGATAGTGAACAAGTGTACAAAGTTACAAAGGCAGATGGCACTGGCATTTGAAAATATTCGAGGTGGTACGCAAACAGTAACATAAATTCTTAGTCGAAAAAGGGACATAATTCTGCCAAAATCCTAAAAATTTGGTATCTACAGACAGAAATGTTCCTCTGACGTTGATAGTTTGAAAAGCATTTTCGTTCAATAAAGTCTTTACGACGACTGTAATATCATGTGACAACATTAAAATTGTCAGTTATATCACCAGTTCAAGGCGAAAAAGTCGAGGCGAGTAGCCGAGTAAATAAAAATGTTTTTCATGGTTAACATTATTATAGAAAGAGAACGGAAGGTATGTTGCTTGGCATTTGCAACAAATTCTGAAAACTGTTTTAAACTGTAGTCCGAATTTAATTTTTCAACTTGTGCCATAATTTACAGTTAAAAAAGGTTTTTTCATTTTACCGACCAATGCAATAAGGTTTAATGACTTTTTTAAATAGGCGGAGCGTGGACGATTTTGACGGTTGGGAAATCATCGTTAACCCAAATAAAAGCAACTTTGTTTTCGATTTTTTAATCAAACTGGACACTGTTTCGTCGAAATCGCTTAAAAACGTGATCTCTGAGTCTACAAAAATGCGACCTGTTTTTGCTAAAACAGAATCGGACCGTACAGAATTGAAAAAGGTATCGTATCAAGTATTTCCTAAACAATTTATGGTTGTAAATCAACAAGCATAACAGTGAGAAAACATATTACCTTTGGAAAGCAACTTAATAAGTATACAAGGGTCGGTTCTACATATATACAGTAAAAAAAACCTACAAAATATAATTCAATTAAATCTTGCATGATATTAAAGGATGGTGTCAGAATCATTTTAACCCTTTACCTCATATAACCGCGAAACAACGCACTTTCGACCCCCCCCCCTCTTTAAGGCCTCAAATAGTGAAAGAATGTCCTGTTTGGGCCCCAAACACATGTTTTCATTGAGAAATGTTGTTAAAAAAGTGACCACTTTTTCGGCGCGGTCCCCCAACCAAAAGATACATCAGGGAGTTGCCAGAACGGGGATGTGCCCCCTTCTGTTTTGGGAGTTTGAAGGGGGCGGTAGTCCCCCTCACGCCAGGAAATATTTTGGACTTGTGACAAGCTAAAAATGACCCCAGATCAATCATAAGGTAACATGTCACCAACGCTGAAAAGCATTTGACTCTATCTCAATCCATTGAGAAGTTGCAGCACTTTGAAATCAATTTTGATGGAAAAAATCAACGCAAAATAGTGATTTTGGCAATTTTGAGATGTCCCCTCGTTGCCATGGTAACAGGAAATTTAAACCTGAGCATGTTGTTACAAAGGCAATGGCCCAGTCAACATTTGTGCCAAGGTTGATTAGTATTGAAGCAGTTTTTATAGTTTTATAGCAATTTGAACTTGTAACGGGAGACTTTTCAATGAAAACAGCCATTTTTCAGAAAATGCTTATGAGGTAATGGGTTAAGCGAAAAATTATGGTGAAACGGTGTCACAGACCTCGTTATCGTGTAATCTGTCATTGACTTTGATTATATGAGGTTATTTCATGTCATTTTATGAGCAGACATTTAATCATTAGTCCTTCAAACATTTTTAACTATTGGTTTATGATTAAATGTTTTTTCTTTAATTTTCACCTTGTTCAAAACAATTTTTCATAAATACCATTTAATATTTGCAGTTTAAAAACTTGGTCTTAAAAAAGTAAGACCTTGTCTAGATTTTGAATTATCTGTCCTTGAAATTTTCAAATTCAAAGGTAGTTAATTCGAAAACGACGCCAGTGACGTCTAACACCACTGCGCTCATTATTTTCTATAAGTTTACTATTTTCTTTGATCATCCAAAGTTTTAGGTCAATGTCATTATGTAGTAACAATTCTGCTATATGTCTATATGTAACCCGTGCATACGTCTTTCCAGTCAGTTTTTAGTACATTTCCTTTTCTCGCAATGAGATTTTATTGATAAACATTTAATATTGAATTGCTGGAAATCCTTCAATATATAAACGCCAAATACAATGATTCGTGTTTAGTTTTTCTTTCTGTCGTGCATTTATTGGAAAAGGAAAATCGCATATCAACATTCTTATCATTTATTTTAACACTTACCATCATCAATATCAACATCATCTACTTTAACTGGCGGTGCATTTTGATTTTGATCTTCATTTTCAATGTCTGATATTAACAAAAAGATAGTATCAAAACAACTGTATATGCATATAAATAAATCAATCAGTCTTAATAATAAAAATCATGACAATTTTGGTCTTAACTTGTTAATAAACATCATGTCATAATCAAACTTATCACCATTATCATCAGCATTTCATCATCATCATCATCATGACAGTAACAAATGAAAGCTTCAGTAGCAACAAATTCACATGTTAAGCAGTGCCATTGTTCCAAAAAAAAAAAAAACAAAAAAAAAAAAAACAACACACATACCATTTCGAGGATTATCTGCCATCGTGAACTATCTGCTGTACCCAAGTTAACTGTTACATGAAAAGAAAACAAGAACAACTAATCTTATTGACAAGGAAATTAAATGTTCCCTTTTCATTATGTAGATAATTAAATAAAAAAAATATTTTCCATGTTGCAACAAAATGTCTAATTTATTCAAATATGAAAAAGCAAGATAAATGTATTTCCCGTTTTCCTTGGTATTTTAATTGCGCAATTCGTGTCCGAGACAAATAGTCGTTAGATAGTATAGATAAGATTCTCCTATTAAAGACATTTCTGTAGCGTTAAACGGTTAATTCCAAAATGTTTTTCAGATAAGGTGATTTACAGTCGACAGATACCCCTTGAGTGTTATTTGATTCTTCACCAGTACCACCCTTATACCTCAAAACTGATTTCTGATTTCCCAGAGATTTGAAGATAATGACAAAATAAATGTAGACATTGTAACGTACATAACAACTTGAAATACTATCACCTCGCTAGGAAATCAAACTCACGAGCGTAAAGTCAGATAGGAAAGGTCTCACATATCAACAAGCCTTTCACACATTCCCGGAGATAAGCCACAATACCATGGAGAAGATTTTATTTGTTAAAGTACCGAGATCTATAGTATCATTAAAATCTTAAACGTAAATAATAAATTACGGGAACTAACGAAAGGCCTCCAAAAAGTTAATGAGTCTCAGGTCAATATTGCCAAACAATAGGTTCAGATATTTGCAAATCGTTCGACCTGATTGACATTAAAAGAAAGACATTTGATACGCGATTGAATATGTAAATTTACTCTTCGCCAAGGCTACTTTGTTATCGACCAACGGTTTATAACTTCATGTAAAGACAAATGACATTATGCTCGTCAAAGCATAAATGGTCAATGAACAGGAAAATATCAAATTTTTTTTTTATTTAACAATGAAATGAATAATCCACATGTTCAACGGCAATTTCTATAGCTATTGTTCAAATTATATCGTTAACGTTCAATTGGGCAGCCTTCCAACGGGTAAAATATACGTATGCGTATTTTTTAGAGTCCCAATGTATTGTCTCTTACCAAAACAGAAAAAAACTTCACTGCATAAACCAATACCGATGACTGAGAATGAAATGTGAAAAATATAGCAAATAAATAAAAGACTCCCCCGAAAAAAAATAAAATAAAAAAGAAGACAGACTTGCTTCCCGCCTTACATGCTGAAGATATTATCTACAGCACCTTTTCGAATATACATGTACCTACATTTGCTGTATACCTTGTCTCTTCACACGATGTTACAGTGTTTGTACCGTTTCTTCAATACTCAAAGTATTGTAATATATCTTATATTTTTCTGATATCTCTCTGTTAAAATATTATTTATACTACATCCATCTTAATCACACATCTGACATAATTCACATATTCTCCAATTACTATCTGCGTTTTAAATCTTTTGATACGAGACTTTATAATATGTATTGTCATTCAAATACTTTAATTCAGACAGTAAGATGACAACTGCATCTTTCGTGATTACAAAAATTACATTCATCCTTGAAAAAAAAAAAAAAAAAAAATAGAGAAAAATAACAACAACAACAAAAAACAACATAAGAGTAAAATAATAGCAAACGTCAACAAACCTCGGCTTAATAAAAAAATGTGCAGGTCTCTCAATATGCTAATTCAAAACATGACAAAAGAACATAAGTCGAACACGATAACGTTTTTATTATTCGATTGTACCATAATGTTATGTTAAAATGGGTTATTCATTATTGGCGTCCGCGCCGAAGCGCCACACCCTTTTTGGAATGAAATCAGATTTTGTGACTTGGCAATTGCAACTTTTCGGGCCTTTTCGTCTGTCATAAGAGCCGATCATTCCGATTGGTATGAGGAAAAATGAAATGTCGCAAAATGTACTATGAATAACGAACTGGAGAATTTCGCAATGCAAACATATTTAAATGAAATTATCTTATCATTTGACTAGTATTTTGTATGTACCAAAGAAAATTACCACACTGGTGGTAATTTTCTTTGGAACATACAAAATACTAGTCAAAATGAACAAAGTCTGTTTGATTTTTTGGGAGGTCAACCTTCTATTTTAATGAATAACTTCAAAAACCTAGTCTGACCCACCAGTGTGTTTACATTCCTATCAATAAACCCATAACAACTCTTGTTAAAATTGCACGAACGTTTCTGTTGATAAAAAGTCACAATATTCGGCAAATGAACATTCCACTCAAACTACTATAAAATCGATTGCCTTCAAGCAAAATATAGAACGGTTACATAAAGAGATTTGAACAGCGAATAGGTTTTATAGTATACTACTGCTAGACCAGTTAACTGCCGCACAACGGCAAAATTAGAGCGAAATTTACAGTTTTTGATTTAAAGTTAAAATTGCATAAACGCCAATCAAGAAAATTAAAAAACTGACAAAGAAGAATTTGAATTATTTATGCCAAGCGAAGCGTTGCATTCAGTCAGTGTCAGTCCAAACTTGTTTCTTTATAAATACATGTTTCTTTCCGACTGTCAGTTTCCTTATTTAATGTTACTGAGATTTTTTTCTTTTATTTTTGTTTTCAACAAACGAAGATGGCTACAATATTAAGCTATTTTTTCTGCTTGCTGCATTTTTGATTTTTGGTCATGGCAGTACATGATTGATAACAATATGGACACATTTTATTTTATGCTCATGACCAGCCGAATGATAGCGAAAACATAATTGTACGACAGGCACAAAAAAAGCACATGGTTTAAAGTATTATTATTAAAACGAGACTATACAATATTTTTGAACCTGACGGCCTTGTTGTTCTTTTTTCAACTAACCATGAAGTCGAATTGTGGGGAACGCGATATGATGTATTCAAAATGTTGTACAATGTCAACATTGGAAATGGAAAAAACTAAAAGCTTCATCATTTTGAAACTTGCTTTCCTTCTAACATTAATATTGATTAAACATCATGTCTGTTTAACCTGCCGGTTTGATATATTGAAAACGGTGATAAAAAATCGGTGAACATGATGATATTGTTTAAGATTTTCATACAGCGAATACATTTTAATCACGTAAATGCCTTACTGTCCGACGTATAATTATAAGGATATATATCGTTGTTATTCTTCTGTAGGTAATAAAACTGATTCTTCGGTAAATGTCTAGTTCATTTTATTTTCACTTGAAGAAATACATTTCCAAGAAGTGTAACAGACTTACAATTCAGTAGCTTCCTTGATAAGTTTCAAACCATTACCAAACAGAATCCCGAACACCACACACATTATTATTCAATTTTTTTCATTAAGCACATTTTTTAAACATCACCAAAATATTTTAACTAATGTTATAAAACTTCACCAAGCTATATATCTGCTGCAAAATTTATTGTTTGAAATTTGAAAAAGTCAACAACTTTAAAATGCCTGTAAGAAGGAACCTCTTCGGGACTCTGGTTTGTAATGATTTGAAACTTGCCTATAATTGAAAAACTTCGATCACGATAACAAGAAAACTAAAATTAAAATAATCTATCGCCGCACAAGTACTTGATTATAATTATACTTTATATATGAATGACACTTGGTAAATTAATTTTTAAATTACAAAGATTTTATACATTGAAAATAAGAATAAAACATTAAGAATTGAAAATAGCAAAACGCGTTTTTACCGATACATTTTAAAGGAACTCCACTGAGGTTGATAAGCCTAAAACATAGTATTTTATTTTTTTCACATTGATAAACATGAGCACTTTAAACAGAAATATAAATAAAATTTAACTAAGACATATACAGGAAATATATTGAAAATCATATGTTTGTGCTTTTCTCAGTCCGTTTAAACGCTTTTCCATTTTGGGTCATTTTTCACTATTATAAAAATTATTCTGGAAAGACGGAGCGAGCCAATGATCTGAAATTTTGCACATAAGTTATCAGTATAGATCTTCATCAAGTTATCAGTATAGATCTACATCAAATGTAGTAATAATCTCAAAAAAAATATTTCCAGTCCCGTCATGTCAAAAAACTTCAGTGTAGTCCCTTTAACTTTAAGTATTTGCTATCCGACTATACTTTCTTCTCACACAAAAAAAAAATCCCGAAAAAATCATTATCAAGTCGTTCAAACAGGGAACTGACTTGTTCGGATATAAACTTCTTTTATATATATCTTCCATCTTAGAGGGAGACAATTGTATTTAACTGTAATACTCCGTTTTTAATCCCATTCCGCGTGGTGGAAAATGTGATAATAGAAATGGCCTTCGTCTGTCAGTCAGTCCGTCTGTCCTTCTGTCTGACCGTCCGTCAGTCTGTCCGTCCGTAACACTTTCGTGTCCTCTTCATAACTTTTAAACCGCTAAAAATTTTTTGAAATAACTTAGCACAGGTAATCAACATAATGAGACGATGTGCAGAGCGCAAAAATTGGCTGGCTACCTCCAGGATCAAGGTCACACTTAAAAGATCAAATGTTAAAAAGTCTTAATTTCATAACAAAAAGTCTTCATTTCGTGGCCGCTCCATAACTTTAACTGCTTAAAATCAACTTTAAGGAATAATGTTAAAAAGTCTATATTTCGTGTCCGCTCTATAACTTTTTAACCGCTGAGGTTTTTAAAAAATAACTTGGCAAAATAGATCACCATTATAAGGACATGTGCAGAGCGCAATAATTGGGTTGCCACCCCCAAGGTCAGGGTGACACTTAAGGGTCAAGTAAGTCTACATTTCGTGTCCCCTCCATAACTTTTAAACCTCTGTTTTTTTTAATAGCTTGGCACAAGTGATCACCATTATGAGACAATGTGTAGTGCGCAATAATTGGATTGCTTTCCGCAAGTTCAAGGCCACATTTAAAGGTCAAGTGTTAAAAAGTATACAATTCGTGTCCTCTCCATAACATTTAAACCGCCGGAAAGTTTCTTTTAAATAACTTGGCACGAGTTATCACCATTATGAGAAGATGTGCAGAGCACAAAATTTATATTGCTACACCCAAGGTCACGGTCACACTAACTGGTCGTGTCTGACCATAACATTTAAACCGCTGCAATGTTTTTAAGATTACTTGGCAGAAATGATCACCATTATGACACCATTGACAGAACACAATAATCAAGTCATAACCCTGAAGGTCAGGGTCACACTCAAAGATCCAATGTAAAATCGTCATTTTTTATGTCCGCTCTATAACTTATTGACAATTAAAATTACTTGGTACAAATGATCACCACCATGACACAATGTGCAAAGTTCAACATCCAGATTGCTACCCCAAAGGTCAAAGTTATATGTTTTCCATAATTTTTTTTA